AACACCGGACGAACAGGGAAACGGTCCACACCAGCTAAGATATGAGCACGCACACACTTTTGTGAATGGTTTACAAAGGAAACGCCTGTGTTCATGATGTTAACCAGTTAATCTCATTGCATAATGTATGCCTCGATTTGCTTGGTCATGTTTGGCAACATGAACAAGCAACTTAACCTTGACACACTTCTTAGCTGCTTCCAAGAAACTTAATTTAATCTTTTAGTTATTAAAACATTTGGCAAGTCTAAAACAGATCGAAGATCCTTTTTATTTAGTGTTTTTTCAGCAAGGTAACCACCGTCAACAATGAGTGAGATTTTGAAAAGAAAAAGCTGCAGGGGTTTAGTCCTTAATCCCTCTGAACCTAAATTATTGTCTCTTTTACTTCCCCTGTACTGTGAAATAAGATATGATGCTCAGATTATCTAAATACTGCTGGTTAAAAGGCTAAAGTGAAATATGGTATGTTGTTCAGATTCCTTATTGTCAGTGTTAACATAGCAGATAACATTTTCCTATTTGTCTCCTTCCAGGTATGGAGGTACTAGAAGCAGAGGCTCGCTTTAACCCATCCTAGCTGGGAAATCCCAGAGCCTTGTAAATTTACCTCACTGATAAGGCCAGTACACGTGCACAAGAACTCAACAGATGGCAAAAAAGAGCAGTTAATCATTTATGGCCTGCTTGATATTATCTCTCTAAAGTTGAAACAGGTTATGGGTATTCACCTGGTCCCTATGGAAGTCTGTTTATCACTTTGGACCATGCAGTTTCTCTTCTGCTGTTCCTCAAAGCACAATGGCATGTTAATCCAGGGTTATGACCTAACTGTTTAGGAGCTAAGGGCAGAAGGGCAGGACATCTTGAAGTGATTTCATTTGTACCCGATATATCATAGACCCCTTGATCCAATCAGAAAATTCACTGATGTTTTCAGGGTAAATATAGAGAGCTTTCAGAATTTTAATAGGATGACAATGAGAACAGAAACCAACTCTTTTACATTTTTTAAAATTATTTAACAGGAGCAATATGAAACCTCCAGAAAATGTAGAGTACACATAATTCCAAAAAGTTGATTCTGTTCATCTGGATGTAGCGTTTTCAGTGGGGCAAACATTTCGTCGCTCGTCAAAGTGACTTCTCCAGCCAAGACTGTCCTCAGCTGAAGAAGTCTGAACATGTGTACTTATGACAGTCCAAATTTTCCCACTAGGCTCTTAGAAAATGTCACAGATGAGGCAGTTTAACCAGTGTATCTTATCAGCTGGGAATATGATTGTAATTCTACCCACTAAGTACAGAATTTAGCCCTTCAGTTTAAAAAAAAAACCCAGAATACAAAAATCTACAGGTTAGTTTGCTGTGCACAAAGGCATACTGAAGATTTGTGTTGATTGATATAAGGTTGAAGATCTTATCAGCATACAGATGGAGAGTGTGTCAGAATTCTGGCTTGGTGCATCTCAGTGTATCCTCTACCTGCAGTGGTAGTTATTGGATCTGGACTTTCTTTCAAAGGGCTTGTTTTAGATCCCACCTGTGAATGGACTGTATTCAGAAAAAGAGGAGTGGTAATCCATCTGCTGTGGAAACACACACACACACACACACACACACACACACACACACACACACACACACACACACACACACACGGTCTCTGGAGAACAGAGACATCCCATGCATCCAGT